GTAATACTGTACAAGAGTTTTAATCTTAACAATTTTAATTTTTCATTAGGTTACTTTTAGTTGCAATTTTTAAGATGTCTTATGTATCAAACACGTTTTTCTTCTTTGAATAGTCGCTTGTATTCACTTACTAAATGTGACCAGTAAATATCTATCTATAAAGCTTTGGGCAACTCTTCGTTGTTGGAAGTTGTCAGCATTGTCGATTTTGTTTCAATTCGCGGGAGAACCGTTCTGGAACGACTACGCGCTTGCTTGTTTAGGACAATGCGATCCGAAATTATTCATTATTGTAACTGGATGTTTCTATATTTTGTTCCAATCACTTTTGGAATTATTCTGGAATAATTGTGTTACAGTAAATTCGGTAATTGTATAAAACGAGAAAAGAGACTGATCTGAGCACTGGAGCATTCTTGATAGTGTTGCCAGTTTGACGAATAGTAGATTGGTGCTTAGGTTGTAGTACTTGCCACTTTATTATCAAGCTGGCTAAGAAATTTTCCAGCGACATGCCAGCATAGTACCGATAGGCAGAATGCAGTGGAGTTAAAACACGGAGCTTCAATACCATAGATACATTTTACCATTTTTGACGAAGCTCTACCAGAAATACACTGAAACGTTGAAAACCGAACTCCGAATTATCTTTCGACACTGCACAATGTTACCTAAACGGTCAGAATTCAATTGGTTTCCTGCAAAACAGGAATGCGTAAGGTTGTATGCATAACCATTCAAATTAATGCCTATACTTCGAAGTTGAGTCATTTATTTTAACAGTGAGTAGATCTGATCAAAAGAAATGTTTTTTTCCTTTACCATTTTTCTGGTAAAATGAAAGTAACAAAGTTATAGCCCTTTGGAAGTTTGAGTACCGCCCTGTCTCAATAATGATATTATGTGCTCGTGTTTGGCGACAACGGATATAATTCGCCTTATCGGTTCATCGTATCGGAAACAAAAAAGCGAAAAAATTTGGAACGATGTTTTTACAATTATTTTATTCATTTGTATACACTCAGTGTCAGTCGGTAACGCGTAATGAATAGTGGTGTCTGTTGCGTGGCTCAAACGAAATAAAAAATGGCACATGTTTATGCGGATCGGTTTCCCAATCGAGTGCAACAAACCCCTCGTGCCTTTGTTAATGTAGTACAACGGGCTCGTGAATCAGGTGACGGCATGCCGGTGCTCCAAGACCTCACGATCAAATACAGGTCCGCACTGAAATACTTGTCGGGAGGATACTTTATAAAACAAGGTAAATTTTTTTTCTTATTTTTTTTTTATTTTTACACACATATTTTGGTTTATCTTCCTTCTACAATCATTATCTGAAAATTAATGACTCAACTTCAAAGTCACTCTGTAGACTGGACGTTTCATGGAATTCTTATTATAAAACATGATCATTGGCAGTGCGAAGTAGTGGGAATATGGGAGGTCGAACTGACCTACTCGACTCGTATATCTCAAAGCAGCATTTCCAGAACGAACAGAGCGTAAACTATTTCTACAAAAAGGCTTCTCAGGGAAACCAGCATCAGATCCTAGTCTCGCTGGCCGTGTTTTTATTTTCGTTCATTTCAACTTCTATCGTCAAATTAAGGGAAATCGATTCCGTTTTTCATCAGCATTACGCGAAATAGAACCACAGCTCCAACGGCAGAACGGCAGCCGCAGAGATATAGATCAGGATTACTCGTATAAAATGTGTAAAAAATTAGTATAGACGAATTTCACACCGGGACTATGTTCTTGTATGCAAATAAAAAGGCACTTGTCTAGAGAAAAAAATGCTACTAACGTTTTACTTCCTATGATACTGGCGAGGAACTATTGATGTTATATTTAGACGCTTTCGATCGCGGTGATTTTACCCACCTATTAGACATATTTTACACATGACAAATCATAAAGCTTACAATACCGTATTGCTGTAGGCCGTCATCCACGTGAGGTCAGTCATTGCAACGTTCATGAGCGCCCGCACGAGTTTTTCTCACGGGGGAGGATGAGTCTTTCATCGGTAAGAGATAATTTTTGTGAAAATCTATGTGCATCCAAAACTTTTTGTAGAGTGGAGCGTATAGCAAATTTTCTCAGGGGGCCAAGTCCTAAAAATCCGCAAAATTGCACACAAAAGCTCCGCTATATATGCAAATTTTAATTGTCTGAGTCTGTTTGACTAGCTTGATCAATTTTTTGTTATACGTTCGTAGCTGACTTTTGCCGAACATATTCCTTTGTGAATTTATTTGAAAGTTACGCGGGAAGTGCAGACTAAATATACTTGATGCCATTTTTTTATAAAAGATTTACAGGAAAGTCATAGGGAATGAAAATACCATCAAAATAAGACTTTGTAATAGTTCGCCAAAAAAAACTTTTTTTTCTCAGAAAATGTATACCTATCTAATCAGATTTTTTCAGAACCAGTTGCTTTTCACAGATATATGCTGCCGAAGCGAGTCCCATGAGACACACTTAATTTTTTTTCTTGATTAGCTTTCGACCGGCACTATATTTTGCTTAACAGTCTAGTAATAATTTAGAGCCGCAAATAATTATGTCTATAAAAAAGAATAATTGATTCAATTCGTTTTTTATGAGAGGACTATAGTCTTGTAAATGGAAGAGAGTAGCGTACACCTCAACTAATGTGAATATAGCAGGATTCGCGCACACGACTTTTCCGATACAAAGGAACACAGCATTAACATTGGCGTACGACCCGTTATGATAAAAGTTTTCGTGTTGTTTTCAGCACCTTAGTGCACTATTGCTAACTGACTGTACACTATTTACCCAAAACCAACATTTTGAGAAGCTGACTCCTTCCCTGGAACAGATGTACGCTTTGAAATTGATAAAATTCAAGTTTTATTTGCTTAGCTCAGTCGATTGTAACTATAGGACATGCTTTTCAAAACAGTCCTCCTAATATATTTTAAGCAGATCAAGGTCGCAAGATAGAAGATTCAATATTTAATGTGATCAGCTTTATCAGCCCGTGAACCCATCTTTTCGAGTGACAGCAACTTGTATTGAGAGTTTATAAAATACTGATAAAGACCTTTGAAATGAGGTATCACATGACTTCCGTCTTAAACTTACTTTCAGTTTTCTTGTTTGATCACATACTAGCAATGTACTGAATCTTTTCTTGATCACACAGCGTGTTCCCTATAGCTCTGCCATTCAGTTTTCATTTGCGTAGCTCAGGCCGTGCTGTTATAGAAATCATGGTCAAATCATTGCCAGTTATGATATCAGAAACTCTCACAATCCGTATAGTTTTTTTCGCTGAATTGGATGCGTTGGCTCTATCCTTAGAAATAACTGAAATCATACATCAGGTATTCATAAAACCAAAATCAGGTATGACGTGACCCTCCATTCCATACAGAAAATATTTTGAGATGGTGCCTGTCCCCCATCTTGAAATTTGTCAACTAACTTCTGCGTTGAAAAATATCAACTCGCTAACATTTCCCATTCAAGAAATAAGAGGAAGAAGAAGTTCCTATTTCAGAATCACTGTTATGCACCTTTGGGAAAAAATATGTTTTGAGAATCGACGATTTTTCGTTTTAATAAGTGAATCATTGCAGTAAATTAACCATAGAATGTTTCAATTTGAAGCATATTCATTATGATATTCTTAAAATAGGGAAGTAGTTCACTAACTGAAAGAGTTGACCTGCTGCAAAAATATTCCATTAGAATTACTGACAACCTTGTTTGGCGCCATTCCTGCAGATACGGCATACCAAAAAACATTTGTAGACATAATGGGATGTAAAATTTTTGATGAGCTTAATGATGACATTAGCAATGAGTCAAATATAGTTGTTTTCAAAAGAAAGTTTAAATTTTTCTTGGTGGGCAAATGTTTATTCGTCACCACTGTTTTTGATGACCTTTTCATTTGTTTTAGCCTTTTCTGTTCTATTCACAATGTAAAAAATTATTATTATTATTTGTTTCCAACTTTGCCGTTCAATAAATAAATAATCCGGAAACTTGTACCTTTAGATGAGGGATGCTTTTAGTTGCACTCAAAAATATAATTCCATTTTCAAATTTCGTCTATCCATCTTGCCATGTAATTCCATATATCCTGGACTATTATTCATTCGCCAACTTACCTGCCTTCAAAGGAAATCACGTTTAGCGTCGACAACTCCTCGGCTTATTTTCGCGGCTGTCTCGGACTTTATTTGATTAATAGTGTACGTGAGGCTTTTCCATCATTTATATTCGTAAAGTACGAATCTCAATGAGATCTCAGCTGCTCGGTAAATGCGCCGTTTCTTACATAAACATTATCGGAACGAAATTAGTGCAATTTAAATATTTAATGCGCACTCACACTTTTGGAAAACTCGGCAACCACCACAAACTCAAACGTGAGGATAGATCGTCCGGCATGCATCTAGTGCAGAGTTCCCCAAACTTTTTTGTGTCGTAGACCCGTTGCCATGTTTTTCCGTGTTGGGTAGACCTCCTACTCACCTGATATTGATTTCCTGTAAATTTCTAACTGTAGTGAAGTTTAGTGTTAAAAACTTAAAGTAACAACACATGTTAATTTATACATTTATTAATTGAATTTAAATTAAAACTACTCAAAATGAAATTTTGTATCTGTTATGTAAAATATACGTAACATTAAATAAACAGGTGTCTGACCAATAAGTGCCCGCATTGGGAATAAGTACCCGCATTGAAAAAAAAATGAGAGGGATAAAATAAAAAAAAGTGAAAAATAATAAAAAAAAGTTTTTTACTTAAAATAGTACAATAAGCGAGTTTGTTTATTAATTATAACATAAACGTATGTTCTACAATAATTTCACTGTTAGTTTGATTAAATTCCGCTTCTCATACGTTTAAGTTATCTAAAAATAGCCAAAAAATTAACGAATTTTAGTGTGTACCTATCCTTGAATTTTCAGAATAATTTTAAAAAAAATATTTTCTATAAAGGGGGGGTTCTTTAAAAAAATCAATGCTAGCACTTATTCTCAATGCGGGAATTTATTGGTCAGACACCAATAAACATAAAATAAACTATAAATAAAATAACATAAGCAATAAGTCAATATTTTTAGTGAGAAGGATGAACGTGATGCTTGAATAATAAATTATCAACATTTGTCGTCAATTTTGTAAGGGTTAATCTTAAATCTCCTCGGCTAATGATGTCCAGTCTGTTTCTTTTTTGCGTTAGGAGATTGGTAACAAACTTGGTATGCACTACTATACCCTAGTCGTAGTACATTTATGCCCCGGCACAACAAAGATGCAGCGCGGCAAAGCGGCAGCCGCCTAAGCGTTGCAATAGCTATTGGTCATTCGAACTCGGTCAGGATCGAACTCAGGCTCGGGGTATCGCCGGCACGCCGACGCCGGCAGTTGCTGTTCGTAATCGGTGCATACATAGCGAGAGTTTATACATTAGCAGATGAAACAGAATATTTCTCCCAATTCAGCCATGCTTCCTCTTCAGTGAGGTCTCCTCCCCGAAAGCGTGACAAGAGGGGACATTTGAATATTCAGGCAAAAGAAATTGCCCATAAGGTTTATAAGAGCGAGATTTTAAAGCATTCTGAAATGAAAATGCATGATATTCAAAGACGTGTGACGTACAAAACGGTTATGTCCTAAGACATTTTTCAACATTGTTAAAGAATATAAAAAAACATAAAAATTGTCTCCACCACACAAGAGATTGCATTACATAAAGCTGTTGGATAGTTGATAACTTTGATCGAAATGGGACCAGACGCAAAGTCCACGAATTTTTTGAAAGCGACCTATTAGATTCTCTGCTTGTATTATTAGCTTTCTTAAATACTATATGAAATAATTATTTCCAGGAAAAGGAAACCGATTTGTTATCTGTCTCATTGGCAGTGGCTTTCTGTCCACTGCCCAATAGGCATTTGAGTCAAATAAAACGACCGACTACCATGAAGAAATGGACCGGAGTTCATTTGAACGATGGTTTGAATAAACGCTCCCAAAACTTGACGACAATGCCGTCATTGTACTTGATAATGCTACATACGACACTAGAAAACTAGAAAAAATTCCCGCAATATCCACAAGAAAGGCAGAAATTCAACAAGGGCTCAAAAGGCATTAGTTTCAATGCACATATGATCGAAGCAGAACTTATCCATCTAGTCAGGTAGCACAAATGTAAATATAATCTTAATGTTCGAGTACGTCCAGCGAATAAAGAATTGTGAAAAGTATGTGCACTTCTTTCTATAAAAATAATCATTTATTTTGTTAGATTATTCCAAGACCATTGAGGAAAATACGGACCTGTACAATCCCGCTTTTGAGTATGTTGTGCTTTGTCTGGGCTTAAATGGACTACGAATGGGGAATAATACCCAAATATTCATAAAACATATAAATAATTTCCTGTAGCGGTGCGTCGATATCGACATCGTTGCAGTACGTCGCGACCACGATACTTTCTCGCTCAGTGGCGTATAAAGTAAAAAAAAAGGGAGAGTAAAACGTACAACAGTCAGAAAAGGTATCACAATATTGTTGAAAATTACTGTAATAATTTCAAATGCCAAAAAAGAATTTGGTTGGGGCTTTGTCAAAATGTTTTATATTAAACGAAATTACGCGATTCAATTTTGTTCACAGTGCGAGCCGCTTTTAGAAACGCCGTTTAGGGTAGGCGACACCCCCATCCCCTTTCCCCCTCTCTCCAAAGAAATGCTTCTAAACTAATAACTTTGTCTCATTTTTACTTCCACATTGCTCATTGGTTAATCTTACCTTCCCAACACTTGTTGGGCTCATATACCAAAGGAGGTATGATTTCATATTAAAAAAAGTCAAAAAAATCATGCTCAAATTAAGCTTTTGATGACGAGGCATATGGCCACACGTTTTCAGTCAGTAAAGAGATATGTTATTAAAAGCCCGCCTGCATGGTAACATCGCGTAGAGTTCCACCATCAAAATTGACAAAAGATGTTTTTCGGATAATTACTTCAAATAACTCAATACGAGTGTGATTCCAGTAGTTCCACTTTCATTTTGTCTGGATAGGACTTAAGTATTTCTCTAAGTGTCAAGTTACACATACGGAATTACATTCTTACTTTGAAGGATACTCAACCAATTATTGTTTCAGCCTCCTTGTACATAACGTTCATTAAATGAACCGGTGGCGCAGCGTTTCAGATAAAAAAACGAATCGATTTACCTTAATTTAACGATAGAAACTGAACCGAAATAAAATACAGTAGACGGTGCATTAAGACAGAACGATAGGATTTGAACGTCTCTGTGAAAACCAATTTTGTGTACGTTGTGCTTCTGCAAAATTTATTTCTTTTATTTCAGACCCTTGCACTTTATTGGATAGAGCGAAATATACCGATTGTTAATTGGAAGACAGGCCATTGGTCCACGGTTTTTACGACGTGGTTCGTCGTTGCTAAAATATTACATGCCTAAATTGTATTCATCTTTTTTATATAGAGAAACAGAAGGACCATGCAACATTAGTTTTTGCGGGATAAGATTTGAATCTTACCTGTCTCGCACCATTAAAGATTGTATGGAAGTATTACAGTTGAAGTAGATCAAGACATATTCATATATTCGTACTCATTTCGGTCGGACCGGTGACTGTGCGCTTCAGCTCCTGGGATGAAAGGTAGTTTATGTGCTATTCCAGACTATAATCTATCTATGTACCAAATTTCTGACCTGTTTTAGTTGTGATTGAGTAACAAACATCAGCATTTTCTCATTTATAATATTAGTAGTGATTTCAAGAACCAATACTCTTAGCTATGACTCAGTCTTCAACAGAGTGGTGAGTAGTGACCGATGCAAAATAGACGAAAGAATGCGTACGAGAATTAGAGCTTTAAACATAATTCAAATCTATTTTTTTATATTGTTTATACTTAGTCAAGAAAGTTACGAACGAACCGGTGCCAAGTTTTGTGGTCTCAGCTCTTCAATCCTATTCAAATTTGCTGAAAATCCCGTGACTTTAGGGACCGGCATTCTCCGGAGCTATCCTTTAGTTGACATAATATAATGGACATTCTGTGATAGATTGGATCCTGTCTACTGGACATGTTTTTCATTATTCGGAGGGTTTCGAAATTCCTTCAAATTGTATCTTTTGTTTCAGATTTCAATCAAGATGGTAGGAACGACAACATCACTTTTATGGTGAAACGAATAAAGGTCCACACAGCTGATGCCCTTAAGGACCCACACTACAGATTCCCTAACAACTACGGAGTAGAAAAGTTCCTAGAACTATTCTCAGGTGAGATTTAGTATTTTCGTAATCTTCGTTTCTTTAGAAGCATATTTTTGTGAAACTGAAGAGCTGCAGTTTCATCTATTGAAGCATAAGCATTCGCATAGGGGTCTCTTTTGTCTTAGTGAGACTCGTCAATACGATACACAGAATTAGCAGTCGGGGCCAAGTTTCACGCCAGTTATGTTTTTTAGCCACAACAAGGAGTTTTTAAAAAATATTTATTCGATAGACATCGAACGTCTTACAAGTTGGAATGATAATGATTCTGAATATAAAAAGAAAAATAGTTTTTATGAAGGTTTCTACTGCAGTTGCGTCTGGCGGTTCTGGACCTATAACGCGCCATCAGTCACTGAAGGTCAGATCAAGGTATGGATACAAAGAATTGTCATACGATACGGACAACAAATATTTTAACTTTTTTCAGTTTCGGAATGGCCTAGGGACATTTAACATGCATTGGTAACTTGTGAGAAGATTACAGGAAGAATAATCCGCTCTGCTAGCGCGCATGCGTCCGATCAACATTGTTCTTGCTTTTGCTAACTATAAAACGGGCACGAGTATTATGGAAAAACCTATAAAACGTGAATAAAAGAAACAGTCGAATGTCATATTGCAGACTAGGTAGTTTTTAGGGTGCAAATCGTTCATTCCACGTTTGCTCGCTATGACCGCTGTGAGCGTTCATCTATGGAGGAATCACTCAACTACATTGTTGGTTGCATATGTTTTGTGTAGACGAGTAGTCTGTAGTTTTCAACTCTGAGAAGGAAGTGTATGTGTATTGGTCTGAATGTGTATAAAATCAGTGATATTTGCTGTGTGAGAAAATTATTACTGAACATGCTGCCAATGAAGAATATCTATTAGCTGTGTCTGACGGGTTATTTATATGTTGTCCTTTCTGAAGGCAGGTTATGTTCAAAGTTATAAATTACGATTTTTCCCGTTTTGTGTTTTCAAAAACTTTGAGGACCACTACGAGAAATCGCCATCGCGCCAGCGTTGTGTGCAATTAAGTCGCATCTCAGAAAAATGACGCTCCACACATCAAACAATTTCGCAATACATCTAGGGGCGCTGATTTGTATTTTCTATTGACACCGCAAAATAAACTCAAATAAAATGTATATAATAATAATAATAATAATGTTTATTGTCACAAAAGACAAGTAAATATCAAATATTGTGCACAATAAACATAAAGCACCCAAAAAAAGTTTGCACTTGTGTTTGGGTTTGTACAAAATAAAAACTAATAGTACAGTCAGTGTATAAAAAAAAAACCGTTAATACTGTATAATTTGGTGTATTATTATGATGTCAGGAAAAATATCCAGACAATTAGAACTAAAGTAAAAGTATGGATGTTAGTGTAAGTAAAATATTATTGATTTTGATAATGATTTTTCAGATCTACAATTTCGTGGATGGAGTACCTTGGTTGTTGTAAAATCCACTTTTTTAGTTGTTTTTTAAATGATTTACTTGACTTAATTACTTTTAATGACTCTGGTATGAAGTTATAGAATTTTGGTCCCAAGAAAAACAGAGATCGTTGTATAATGGTTTTTGATGTTCGTGGAATACACATTGAATTTTGATTGAATCTTGTTGGGTAGTTATGAATGGTACGATTAAAGTATTTTGAATATTTGAAATAATCTATTAAACCACAATAAAAATAAATTTGTCTGCAATCTAATAGCTGAGCCGCCATATATATAGAAAATCACTTGAATGAGTAATCTCTCTATGGAGGATCAATTTTAGAATTAATTTTTGGATTACCTCAACCTTTTTGTAATTATTATTCATAACTCCCCCCCAAGCCAAAATTCCATAAAGTAATAGAGGATAAACAAGAGCATAATATAGATTATATAGATATTTCTTATCTAGAATATCTCTGAAGTACCTGAATTTTGGAATAATACATCTCAGTCTCTTCACAAGGTACTCTGTATGGGTATCCCATTTTAAGTGTGACTGGAGATAAAAAATAATGTAATAACCTTTTCCCTTGTATAAATATTCCTGCCTGTAGCATATTCTCTTACCTGCTCCTTCACCAACTAGAGATTTTCTTTGTTTATATCTCTCATTTTTGAACTTCAGCAAATTTGCATTTTATGTAATTTCCAGAATGAATAAGAAAAAGTGGATACGCAACTAATTTCTAGCTTTGAATCTCAAGTATTTGGGAGAAGAATTCAATGGAATTATCAACACATATTTTTAGCACACAAATCGTCACTATGGACCTACGCATTGCCGTTACCTTGTAGCTATAGCATACAACTTATAGCTCAGATCTCTAGTAATGTCATCTCTGAAGCAGATTTTACATCAGATTAGAGCCATACATTGACAACTGAAGCATCATGACGTGTAGGCAACACGTACAACTACAAAACGAGCTTACAACATGTCCATCAGCTAGTGCTAAGTTATCTTGTAGAAAAACGTACATAATGTCACAAAAAAACAATACAATGTAAAAAATCGACATAATGTCACTTTTCAAAATACGTAATACCCGTGCGGGTATTAGGATTCCGTTAGGTGTAAAAAGATAACCTTTAGTCGCTGACGTTGACAGCTTGTAAATGGAATGTGTGACCACGTCGTATCAGTACCTGAAATAAAACTGAAATCCTAGTAGCTGATTGCTGAGCCGGAATTAAAGAGAACTTAATATGTTTTAAATGTGAATAGGAATACGTTTTGTTTTTCAACAAATGAGTGAAACAAGTGGGGTCTTTGAAAAATGGCTGTTTACAATATATCACAGCTATTAAGAATACAATATTGTTTTGGAGGACAATACCTCGATGTCAGCAATGTAGCAATGTAGCTTAACATCAAGTAAAGCGTGAGACAAATATTGCACGATCAATATTTATTGTGATCCATGAGTATTTATCATGGAATGTGATATTTACTGACTGTGTAGCCTGGACGTGAGTAATTATTATTGATGTATACGGTAACATACTACTCCACTAACACTGACTGAATCATCGGTAAATACTGAAGGTATGGACCACAGGAAATACTGATCGTGTGAGGTTCGCTTAAAAAACATAGGGCAACGAGTTGGTTATGCTTTTTTGCAAAATTCTCTCATCTACTTCTCTATTTCCGTTTTTGTATTCATCCTTGAAAATATTTCGAAATCTTCCTCAGGCTTTTTTCACTTTAGGACCGTCCATGATGAATAATATTTGGTCGAGACTATAAAGCAGGCCCTAACTGTTCCGTGAATGTACAGCGGTTTGCTGCCCTAATAAATAGATGTTAAATGGGTCAGAAAGCTGAAAGGGTCAGGATTAAATCTGTAACTACATTAATCATCTCAATTTGATAAGGGTCTAACGCCCAGCGGCTTGTGTTGGTTGCTCAGTTATGTTTTTAGGCTCGGAGGAGATACCGTGACTCCTCGAAATTGTGGGGAAACGTAAAAAACATTAGTCGCGTTAATTAACGTAACTAAATTTGTTGGACTTGTCTTCCTTCTAGCAACTTCACTATAAGACATAAGAACATCTTTAAAAGCAGTATTGAACCAAGACCCACTTAAAAAGCAGCGTATTTTATAGAGTACATCCGGACAGGGTGAGCGTGATATGGGATCTAAAACGCAACAAATTTTACGTTTAAACATATACGAGGAGGTACCCAAAAATAACCGGAATAGGAATGCAGTGGGCGGAGCTTGTGTAGTACACATTTCTGCCCGTAGAGGCGTACAGTACAACTCATTACCAGTTCAGTGCCACCTGAGTTGTCGATCTGGCTTGTTTCATTCCTCTGTAGTCATTATTTTTGCTAGAGCTGTTTCATGCTTGTTTTGTTTTTTACGATGGCAAGGTTCAGTGAGCAACATACAGCTGTGAAATTTTACTTTCTAATAGGTAGAAATGCTGCTGAAACTGTTTTAATGTTGAAAATAGCTTAGAAAGATGATGCTATGGGAAAAACTCTGGTGTACGACTGGTTTGCTCGATTTAAAAATGGCGACATGTCGATTGTTGACAAACCTCACTCTGGACGTCCATGAACTGCCAGAATCGACGAAAATGTTGGAAAAATTTGAGAGCCTGTGCTTGCAGAAGGACGGCTGACAATCGATCAACTATCCTTAAGCAGTGGGTTGTCCTGGAAGTCGGTTAAGCGAATTTTAACAGAAGATTTGGGAATGAAAAGGTTTACTGCCAAGTTTGTTCCTCGGGTTCTGACTGACAATCAAAAAGAACACCGAGTTGAAACATGTCGTGCTTTGAAACTACAGCTAGAATCTGATCCAAATTTTTTGTCAAAGATCATCACTGGTGATGAGACTTGGTGCTACGATTATGACTCAGAAACGAAGCAACAGTCAAATCAACGGAAGACGCCATCCTCACCCCGCCCAGAAAAATGTCGGCAACTCAAATCAAACATCAAACTTTTATTTGGAGGTTTTAAAACGATTGCGAAACAGTGTTTGCCAAAAAATACCCGATTTGTGGCAGTCAGGAGACCGGTTCTTTCACCACTATAATGCACCTGCACACACAGCCATCTCTGTTCGACAGTTTCTGAAAAAAAAATGGCATGGGTCCGCTCCTCTTTGACGGCATTGTAGGGGTCAAGAAAAAAATTAGAGAGGAGGAGTCAGACATTTCTAAAGAACTTCAAAAATGTTTCGAGCAGTGGAAGCACCGGTGGGACAAGTGTATTAAATGAAGTGGACAGTATTTTAAAGGAGATAAGGTTACTTTGTGAAAATTTGAAAATAAATAGCTTTTGAAAAATAATTTCGTTTCTTTTTTGGGTACCCCCTCGTATATCTGGTCGGCAGTCAATAGTGTTGGAGATTATTATGTCATTATTTTATTGCAAATCTTGCAGGGAAACATGTATTTTCGAGACAATTCCAGTGAAACGAAGTTGAAGGGTGTTTGAAATCGACTATTGAAGATATCTAAACTCTAGGAGTAGTAAAATATTAATTCCTAAACAGCATAAAATGTGTCATCTATGGAATTAGTATATATTTGTTTTAGATAATGCATAGTGCTTCTCAAAAGGAAAGTGGGTTGGGGATAATATATTCCTAGTGAACTAGATAAGCCAATTGTTTCTGTGGTGACTATCTAGCGGTAACATAGTTGGTTGCTAAACTAGCAGACATTTGTGAATCGAGTGCGGTTTATTCGATTATTATGAAACATTAGTGGATTCTACTAATTCACGGAAAATTGGAGGTATACATAAATATTCTTCGAAATCAATATAGGATTATATATATACGAGGGATGTTTTGCATATGGAAATAAAACAACACGGTAGGTAGGTTTAAATGACTTTATTGTTTTTCGAAGTATTCTCCACGATGATTAATACACATCTGCATGCGCTCGAACCAATTTTCGAGGCACTTATTCCACTCGTTTGTTGGCAGATCCAAAACGGCATTTTTTAATGCGTCAACTGCTTCTTCTGGTGACTGGAACCTTTGACCATGCAGTCTGTTTTTAATTTTCGGGAAAGTAAAGAAATCGTTAGGACTTAGATCGGGACTATATGGAGGATGGTCCAATAATTCCACCTTTTCTTCCGTTAAATACTGCCCTGTTTTTTGGGCTGTGTGCAAGCCTGCATTGTCTTGGTGGAGGATGATTCTTCTTTCGGGGTTGATTTTTCGAAGCTCGGTGATGACTTTTGGCAAACAAATGGTGGTATACCAATCCGCAGTAACAGTTCTTTGCTCATTAAGAGGAATTGCTGCAATATGACGCGCTTTTGATACAAATGTCGCGACCATCTTTTTCGAAACACTTCGAGAACGGATGACTTTTTTTGGCTTTTCTTCACCTTGTAACACCCAAACAGCCGACTGTCGTTTATTTTCTGGTTCATAACAGTAAATCCACGATTCATCACCACTAACAATGCTGTACACATTTTTTGAGTTTCCGGAATTGAAACAGTCAAGCGTTTTTTGACACCAATTAACCCTGGCTGCTTTCTGCTCTTCAGTCAACAGGTGGGGTATCCAACGAGAAACTAATTTTCTTACTCCTAATTCTTCATGTAAAATTTTTTGAATTGAGGTCTTTGTGATCTTCAAAGACGTCCCAATCTCGCGATATGTCACATGTCTATCTTCAATGATAAGTTTGCGCACAGCATCGACGTTTTCCTGGGTGACTGCCGTTTTTGGTGCACCCACCCTGGGATCGTCGCTGAGACTCACCCGTCCACGTTTGAATTCTCCATACCAACGGGTCGACTGATGTGGCGCCTCGTTGCCGAAAACAGACAGTAACTCAGCAAGGCATTCTTGTTACGATAATTGTCTCTCAAAGTTGTAATAAATTATGGCGCGTTCTCGGTTGAGTTCCAGAAAATTTTTCTAATGACTTGGTGACACTTAAAAATTCACTGTAGTGAGATCACTGCACGTATTGTTGTGAAACTTTGAATATAAGTTTACTAGAGTGAGTACTGACTTCAGTACTGACCTTAAATTCGCGCGGCCTACTATGTTTCTATATGCAAAACTTAAAAGACATCCCTCGTATATATATATACATAAGCGTAGGACTAATAATATTTGAAGCATTATTTTTTTACTCTCAGCTATGCTATTGAAAATATTCGCATATGAATCTTTGCTCCGTTATTATAGTCATAACTATAATAAAATCTATGGTCTTAATCTATTTCTAGTACCCTCTATTATCTAAATTAATGTATACAAGTATATAATTTTTACTCTATAAATTCAATCTGGCGTACCAATTCCTGATCCAGTTTGCTCCATATTATCTCCACAAACAATAAAATCACGCTTAAAATGACCAAAAAAGTATACGTGACAAAAATACCTCTAACATGTCTGAAATCAACCTGTCCAAGATCAGACCGTGTGATTCCACCCGTATTGACATAGTTTATTTCCAACCACTTCCGTTCTAGTTTCTTGATAATTCCGGTACTACGTAGTGTTTTTATGCTGGAAAAAGATATTTTTGAATTATTGGCAAGAGTAAAATCCAGAACCGTTATGAGTGGTTACTGAAACATATTTTGATCAAAAAACAGTGGCAATAACTCTAAGGTAGAAAGTGTGGGTTCGAAAATGTATCCTTACATATATACAGGCTGTTGGAGGTGTGATGTAAAAGTCGAGAAACGATATTCATTTGAATAAGGGCAGCGATCGCACTTTTGTTTGTAGTACGAACAAACGCATGAAAGATCTCTTCGTGACTCAAACTACAGAAGAAAAAATATTGATTCTACTTCTACTTTCCACTGGTAGTACAGGCTAGATAGAACAAAAGTGAAAAAATTCTTAGATATCTGGACGTTTAAAATGTATACATAAAAAGATACAGCCTGATATGCGTTATTTTTTTATAAACAATGGGAAAAGTTCAAAACTCAGTATTTTTCTTGAATAATTTTCGAATTGAATTTTATAAATAATCGGTAAACTGGAGATTTTAGACCATGAAAAGACCTTCAATTTTGTTTTTTAAGAATTAAAATCGATTAACAATTACGCTAAATACGGGACTTTTTAACAATATTGAATAGATGCTTATAACTATTGCAATAACAATATTGTCAATGGCTAAAAAGTTGTGAGAATGAGGGCATCGTTGGTGTTAATAAGTCCGCTAAATTTCAGCTGGATCGATTTAATAGTTTATGTAAAAAGGTAATTATTTATCCCAGAGATGAATTATTTAAACAACTGTTCTTCTCTTCTCAAAAAATCAATTAAATATTTCAAAATTGTTGTTAAAAATGACGTCAATTTTATAGTTAAACATGTACAATAAAACCGTTATTGTTCAATATAATTTATTTTAACAAGTTGACCTGGATATATGCTTAAAATACATATTTAAAAAAAACTTCTTCTACCAATAGCAGCGAAGATACAAACGTTTCAAAAAAAATCATATGATGGTGATAATGACACAAAATGCTACAACCTTGCTGTAACTGGAATTGACGGTTATGAAGATCATACTGAGAAAATCGACGACTTATTTGAAGAAATGAATTATACAAATATTGAAGAAGAAATAGAGCGTCCAATTAAAGATTTAGATCGGAGGATCAAGATTAAATTGATAATGATAAAAAATTCAGGGTGACTTTGAAGTTGAGTCATTAATTTTCAGATAATGATTGTAGAAGGAAGATAAACCAAAATATGTGTGTAAAATTAAAAAAAAAATTAAAAAAAAATGTTTACCTTGTTTTATAAAGTATCCTCCCGACAAGTATTTCAGTGCGGACCTGTATTTGATCGTGCGGTCTTGGAGCACCGGCAAGCCCTCCCCTGTGAGGTCTTAAGTCACCTGATTCACGAGCCCGTTGTACTTCATTAACAAAGGCACGAGGGGTTGGTTGCACTCGATTGGGAAACCGATCCGCATAAATATGTGCCATTTTTTATTTCGTTTGAGCCACGCAACAAACACCACTATTCACTCACGCGTTACCGACTGACACAGACTGAATAAAAACATCGTGATCAGCGTTTCAAATTCTTTCGCTTTTTTGTTTCCGATGCGATGAACCGATAAGGCGGAGTATATCCGTTGTTGCCAAACACGAGCACATAATTTTATTATTGAGTCAGGGCGGTACTCAAACCTCTAAAGGGCTATAACTTTGTTACTTTAATTTTACCACAAAAATGTTAAAGGAAAAAACATTTCTTCTGATCAGATCTACTCACTGTTAAAATAAATGACTCAACTTCGAAGTCACCCTGTATAATATTATTATAACACAAACGTGAATCAATATTTTTTTACAATTTATGAGAGTGTATTTTGTTAAAAGTGTAACAATTAACTGAATTATGAATTGTTTAAACAATTTTATCGTAAAACATAAGTTATTTTAGAAAAGTGAGAGTAATAATAAATGATTTACTGTTTATTCATTATTATTTCATAGTAGTTTAATTTTGAAGAATACAATACAATATGTAAAGTTTTCCGGGATTTCCCGATTTTGAAAAAAAGAAGGTTCTACGGTGCTGAGGAGCCTAGATAATGCAAAATTTTACAGCGTGTTCTGATTTGAAGTCGCAATTTCAAAAAGTAAATCGAGCTAGAGTTGATTTTCCCACCACCCCACCCGGAAATACTTACGCGAGTTCCTTCCCTTTGGGTGGCTATTTTTTAAAGACCTTTGAACTAATGCTAAAATTATAAATTGGATCATAAAACCAGGATCCTTGATTAAAATCTGTGAAAATTTCTAGTCTTAATGTTCTTAAATAAAGGAGATATGAATTTAAAAAAGAAATTAACTCGGCTTCTATTGGTCGTAGATGGTTTTTTAAAATATGGGTTTTTTATCGCCTGTCCAAATCAACTTGTTAAAATAAATTATATTGAAAAATAATGACGTTATTGTAAATGTTTCTAACTTTAAATATGGCTATTCCTGAACATCATTTTCAACAAGTTTGAAATAAATAATTGATTTTTAGCATAAATTCTTGAAGTTTAAACCTACAAGAATCCATTTCACTTTTATAAAATGTTCTAGGACCATATCTTGTGCACAACAGTTGTTTAAATAATTCATCTCTGGGATAAACTAGCTTTTTACATAAACCAATAGTCCGGTTGAAATTTAGCACACATATTAACATCAATGATGCCCTCATTCTCACAAACTCAGCAATTGTTATTGCAATAGTTACAAACATTTATTCAATATTGCTAAAAAGCCCCGCATTCAGCTTAATTGTTCATCGATTTTAATTCTTGAAAAACCAAATTCAAGGTATTTTTATACTGTAACATTTCCAGTTTACCGATTATGTATAAAATTTGAAGATGATACAAGCATAACACTGAATTTTGAGGTTTTCCGATTTTTTATAAAGAACAACGCATATCTGGCTGAATCTTTTTATGTAGTTGTCATGAGAAGCCCCTCCTTTTCATTTAAAATTTCCAGATGTCTGTTAAACTTTTTTAAACGGAATACCTATTTTTTTCTCTGTAGCTTGGGCTATAGCTGTGTACTTGCTATGCTAGAACTATTGCCATCATTTGTTGAACCACCCTGTATCTGCATGAATGTTAGATCAAGATTTATACACTTAAATAAATTCTGATAGATATAAAAGTTCCTTCAAAAATGAAATACTGAAACTCTGTCCACTCAAGAAAGATAGTAGATAAAGGCATGATTGGAATGCAGTATCCCAACTTCTGGTATTTTTCAAAAATGCAGAACCATTAATATACACAATCCCACATATGCCAAATGAACCACACGTGTTGAGAAAATCTTGTTAATTGTAAACCGTCTTATAAAAACCTTGACCTCCCTCACCATAATGACGTTTATTACCGTTGTGACAGAAACGTTTACAATGAAAAAAAAATTCAACACGTGGTTTTGATTGGCCAGAACATGTAAACTACAGGATAGGTTTCGGATGCTACATTAATATATTAATATACAGACACACCTCAATTAATAGCGTCATTCCTACATTACAGTGGAGTATCAAGAAGTTGCTAAATGCTGGACAATCTGTATTTAGCATTAAGATTTTCCCAACTAATCCTAAAAACTACTTCGTATAATCCACCCATTTTCTACATCCATATTCATGAAACTCTAAGTTTTCTCAACTTTGAAACCAAGTAACATTTAAAATCAATGGAAGTTCCTATTTTCTACAGCAGCAACGAAACAATTTCTGCTTCTAAATCTGTTTCCATTCACCGAACTTATGGTATGGAAATTAGAAAATTCGGTAGGTTTCCTTAACTCTACTATAAAATGGTACTGTTTTATGACGACAGAGATAATAAGGTTTATTAAAATGAAGACGACGAATGGCTCAATTTCTGATGTAGTACACTATAAATTCGGTATGACTAACGAACGCGTTTTTCAAGTTTATGATCTTGGGAATATCCTTGCCCCATTAGACGAAATCGAATCAATAACAACGAAGGCAAGGGGCAGGTATCAAGTTTGCGTGTTGTCAACCGACTTCCGTTTGTTTTTAAACTCTGAGACGTGATGTGAGGTAAAATTTCATACATCTTCAGTGAATGAAGTGAATTTTATAATTAATAATCGTGATTGTTAACTAATTATAAACGATGCCCCAATACGTACTTGAGATTTAGATTTGGCGACATTTTTCAACGACTTGAACTAGACATTTTATACTGCACTTGATTTAATTGGAAAAACAGGAATTCTATTATGCATCGTTTTATGACCGAGGAATGCATCAGAATTGTGCAAACTTTTTGCGGAAATTCACTTTCTTTTCTGAAAATTGTGATGGTGGAATGATACAAATTAATGGTGAGCGTTACCACAAATATTGGATAATAAGTTCTTTCCACCAGATATGGCTACATGTGAGGAAATTATCACACTCATGTTTCGCTGGTGGCCGTATATCTCGTGGTGGTAATATTTACAGACCGCTTGATATTTTTAATGGAGGTTCCTCAAAGATAAAGCCCATTCAAATAGTACGCAGGTGATAAATTACTAAAACATTTCTCAAGTTAAAGATAAAGTTATACCGCAATTGTGCCAAAAGGTCACTGAAAATTTTAGTTTACCTGCATAAGCAGCTGACGAGGGTATTTGTATCATATGATTTATGGTATAAAACCCAAATCCCATATTTGTATATTCTGACACATAAACAAGCATGATTTTTTTTTAAATTGTTGGTTAGTCTTATTTTACAACAAATGTTTCGATTTGCACATTGTACGGTTTTTCTTATACAGCGATACTGATAGACTGATTCAGCAGTACTTGATGAAACATCCAAACTTTTTGAAGCTAACAATATACGTAGTCTACTCCTTAAATATAAATTTAGGTAAACCGAGAAAATTTAAGTTAATAAGATGTTACGGCATGTCATGCGCAGCGTAGACTTTCAGATTGGAAGTAATGATCGCTAGAAGAGAAACTCAGTTCATAAACAAGGATTTCTTGGGAAAGATTCGTAAGTACGCTTAAAGTTTCTGCTTTAGCCTTGCACTTCGAGGAAAGTTTGTTTTTATTATTCTTGTATTTTCGCCGTCGTAAATAGATAAGCTAATGCCGAACTAGTAAACGGGCACGGTGGTCTAAGTTTCTGAAATCAACATTACATAAAAATTATTTCAAGCAATGTGTATGTTTGGCTTGGAATGATATTTTTGTTATTCAAAAGTTATTTGGGGAATTTAACCTCTATGCGAATGTAGATTTGAACAAAAGGTTCTAGACGAGCTGTGAGGGATGATCTGAAATTTCCATTCTACTCATCTGTGAAAGTTGAGAGTTTGAAAACTTCCCACCACGGATTTATCGAAAACTAATTATAATAAAAAACGCCGAGACTCGTCAAAAGATTTATCAAGGGAGACAACTTTTTAATCAAAAACTACTTCACCTCCTTACACCCTGTGCCACCAGGGTCATCCATTTAATTATTTTGAATGACAAGGGTATCGAGTAATAGCTTGTTTTAAAGGTCTTTCGAAGTCCTTTATTTATCTTAATTTGTTCAGTTAGAAAACAAAAACACACTACTTACTATCAAAATGCATGCTCGGTTGAGAGAGTGCATAATGCATGACTAAATTTCGAACCCAGTTTACATTATTGGACATTAAACCACCAACAAGCGGACGTAGAGTGAGGACTGAAGAAAATATTGCGGCTGTATCCGCCAGTGTTAGTGATGACCGTGAAATGTCGATTCGCCGCAGTTCGCAGCAATTGGGCCTCTGTTACTCCACTACGTGGAAAATTTTGCGACAGGATTTGGGCGTAAAACCTTATAAGATACAGCTGGTGCAAGAATTGAAGCCACACGACCTCCCACAAAGTTTCCCATTTGGTGAATGGGCGCTGGCAAAGTTGGAGGAAGATCCACATTTTTATCGAAAAATTGTGTTCAGCGACGAAGCTCATTTCTGGTTGAATGGGTACGTTAACAAGCAAAATTGCCGCATCTGGAGTGAAGACCAGCCAGAAGCATTGCAAGAGCTACCAATGCATCCCGAAAAAATCACTGTTTGGTGTGGATTATGGGCCGGTGGCATCATCGGGCCGTACTTCTTCAAAGACGACAATGGCCGGAACGTAACTGTGAATGGCGAGCGCTACCATGCGATGATAACAATTTTTTTTGCCCAAAATGGAAGAGCTGGACTTGGCTGACATGTGGTTTCAACAAGACGGTGCCACATGCCACACCGCACACGAAACAATGGCCTTATTGAGAGGCGAGTTCGGTGAACAGTTTATCTCACGTTTGGGGCCCGTCAATTGGCCGCCTAGATCGTGTGATTTAACGCCGTTGGACTATTTCTTGTAGGGCCATGTTAAGGCTAATGTCTACAGGGATAAACCAGCAACGATTGACGCACTGGAAGCCAATATTGAAGCATTTATTCGTGAGATACCGGCCGATATGTTGGAGAGAGTGTGCCAAAATTGGACCTTGCGCATGGGCCATCTAAAGCGGAGCCGCGGCCAATATTTACATGAAATAATCTTTAAACATTAAATTATATCGACCGTTCTATCGACTCAAATAAAGATTTAATCGTTTTTTCTAATTATTTGTGTTTTTTTTGAAAATCAAATCCTATACCTCTTAAAAAATCACCCGTTATATTTTTCATTGTTGTGTATTGAATTCTTTTTTTTGCAAAAATTCGACACTTAAAAAATGGTTCTCGCCTGTCCCCCATCCACCCAATAACGTCACACGTATCAATGCGCCTAACGCAGTGTTAAATTGTTATGAAATACTACTTTTATTGTCCAGAAACTGACCTTATGATGAAAAAACAAAACTTTCAAAGATATCCCAAACAAAGGTCTATATAGTTTCCAATATTTGAAAATTGTGCAGTGTATACAATTGGTAGCAGCTTACTTATACTTGAAATGAACTTTCACTGCATAGAAGAGACCAGATCGACATATTTAGAGTAGGTCTTGAGCTAAATAAACCCTCTAAGTATCTGTTATACTTACAAATTCTCTATAAGCCCAAATTCCTTGAATTGCTTGTGAGCAATATATACGTTGCCAGTAATAAAATATCTTCTATCAGCATTGCTGACTTTGCAGTGTACAATTTTCTTCTTCAGTAGTGAGTGCATCATCTGTTTGCTTTCGAGCACCACCATTCCATATTCGCATACTGCTTTATTCGCATTATCTGGATTTCTGACATCGGGACAGTTTCTATTGATAACATCTTCTTGCTTACCGAACTGGTTCTCCCACTGGTCCTAGAAACGATAACACTTTACATAGCGATAAAACCGGGACCAGTCCAAAGTGTAATTGGCACTTATTTCAGGTTCACGGATGTGTAATGAGTGGTTCAGTTTTAATTTTCCAGAAAGAGTGAAGTCGAGAATGCCCTTTTGAGGGAGTATAAAAAAGCGATTCGCTAACGTCCGTAACGCTTCAGGTGACGTTGCGTAAAGGACAATGAGTGATTTTACAACCCACGTCCAATACTGTTCAAAATATGAGTACCAGTTCTGCTGCAGAAGCTGCACGTAACATAAGTCAAACTGTTACTCTCTCTGGTCTCCGAGGCAAGAGTAAAACGGTGGTTCCGCGATTCCGCAGTGGTGACTATTCCTTGATAGATCAACCAATGTTTGGGCGTCTAGTAGAGACAAAAAACAATGGATTTAAGTGTGCTTTAATTGTAAAGCTCGTATATTCTCATGGCACGATAGAAAATCATCTGCCTCCCCGTAAGGTGATGCTTAGGGTGTTGTGGAATCTACATGAAGTAATGTACTGGGAAATTCTTTCCACTAATTTCACGATCACAACAGTGTACTGAAGCTTGAGCTTCGTCGTAAGCGTCAGAACATCGAAAATATTTTTTCTCCATAACATTGCCCAAATTCATATTACTAAGTGTACCCGACAAAAGCTACTGAATATGGGCTGGGAAGTAGTTCTATACTCTCCGTATTTGCTGGACAGATTTCATTTTATTCCGATCAGTCAGTAATCATCTACAACCGTGAGAGTCATTTACAGTTCAGGTCGGCCGGGTTTCAATTTGTACGAGAGCGAGAGAGAAGTGCGAGAAGTGCGCAACAGGTATGTTAAAAAGAGATAGAAAGAGTGCACCCACAAGTAATACCCACGTTGTGTGGTAACGACAGCTAGGAAGATCATAGAGCACTATTTTTCACTCTTTTCACTCTTTCTAAAACCCGTTTTACATCAACAATTTCCTCACGATGATTGATTTGTTCAAGGTCATTCGGAATATGTTTTGTTGTGTTTACAAATACATGGATTATCTTATAGTTTTCAATGCTGCTACCCACACAACAAAGTCTTGCTGGAAACATTTTTAGTTTTTATGTGTATTCAGGTTTTGATTTTAGGCGAACCTCATAAACATAAACGGTATTGTTCAATATTGTATGTAGATCTATCAGAGTTCTATAACTGAACTGAAAGGTTGTTCAATATTTGTATAATGGATAGGCAAAAAAGGATGACACCATGATATTTGACGTCCAACTAGGCAAGTTCATGGATTTATTTGACCGAAACTTTCTTTTTTGTACTATTGAAATTTTTCCATGAACTCAATTCATGAACACAATGCGTATTTAATGTAAAATGGTTATAACAGACGTGTTGCATTCTTCTTTCGTTTCTCGCTTGTACAGATTGAAACTGGGTCCACCTCAACGTAAATGATACGTACTGTATGACTTCTTCAAATCCAAACCGACAGAATCTTATGGGAACGCCATCCTTGCTTGCCTGATGGCTGGCTTAAGCGCAGTAATAGGTAACGATGATGATTATATAGGCAGTGATTAATTATTATTTTATAAGTAAATATATGAGATTTTAAAATTATGTTTGTCGATCATTATTATTCAGCCAACCCAATACTTTGTACCTAAAAATGCTGTTTGTTGTGTCTGCTACTACTACTCTATTGCCATCCTGCAGGTCTACTGAGGAATCTCAGATTTTAGATAATGCTAGAAAGCATTTACATAACTTTTCTTCCAAAAAAGAGGTGTATATATATATATATATATATGTGTATATATATACTTTGAAGTTGAGTCATTAATTTTCAGATAATGATTGTAGAAGGAAGATAAACCAAAATATGTGTGTAAACATTAAAAAAAAATTTAAAAAAATGTTACCTTGTTTTATAAAATATCCTCCCGACAAGTATTTCAGTGCGGACCTGTATTTGATCGTGCGGTCTTGGAGCACATACCCTCCCGTGTGAGGACTTAAGTCACCTGATTCACGAGCCCTTTGTACTACATTAACAAAGGCACTAGGGGTTGGTTGCACTCGATTGGGAAACCGATCCGCATAAATCCGTGTTGCCGTAGCAGCATTTTGTAAAATCAGAATCATGTCCACAAGTTCAGCATTTTCGTAAACATGTGCCATTTTTTATTTCGTTTGAGCCACGCAGAAACACCACTCACGCGTTACCAACTGACACATCGAATGAATACAACTGAATAAAATAAATGAATAAAACATCCTGACAAGCGTTTCAAATTCTTTCGGTTTTTTTTTTGCGATTATATCCGTTGTTGCCAAACACGAGCACATATTATTATTGAGACAGGGCGGTACTCAAACTTCTAAAGGGCTATAACTTTGTTACTTTAATTTTGCCACAAAAATGTTAAAGGAAAAAAACATTTCTTTTGATCAGATCTACTCACTGTTAAAATAAATGACTCAACTTCGAAGTCACCCTGTATATACAGGATGGCGCATCGAAAACGAAACAGACGCATTTACTGGCAGCTCAGTTTATTTTTTCAAAAACGCTCAGATCCGTCGATTTTGTTTTCGAGGGGACACAAGTTTGGCAAAAATCACGTTAGCACGTGCAGCCTCCTAAGCGGGGGTGACACCACCCCCAAAATCTTAAATGGAAAGGGGGGTCGAGTGATACTTTATTTTAAAGGTCTTTCAATTCCCTTTATAATGATATAAAATTAATGTACTTCAGTTCAGTAGTTTTGAAGATTTATTGATTTAAAGCTTAAATAAAACTAATACATCATCATTAGTGGGGATCAATACATTTGGCAGCAAAGTAATTTGAAAATGAAGAATGAACTGACTCGTTAGGCAAGTAAATGTTGAAAATGGTCACCATGACTCTCCATGCAACAATAAAGATTCTGCTCAGAACGTTACCGCACATTTTGCAATATTTGAGGTGTAATTTGAAGGCACTCTTCTACCGATCCATCGATCTGGAAACGTCTGATCTAAATATTGTCGAACAAGTAATGCGTAATGTGGTGGGGCACCATCATGTTGGAACATCAACCTATTCGCAATGTACCAACGATCATTCTCATTTTCAATTATGGCTGTTAATGCAGGATCTATGGCGTCTTCCAGTAATTCCAAATACATTTCACCCGTCAAATTTCCAGGTAAGAAAAAAGACTAACTGAATGATTGCCAAAAATACCAGCCCAAACGTTTAATTTTTGTGGCTGCTGTATATGAACCTCATAATAAATTCTGGGATTAGAATCGGACCAATATCGGCAGTTATGACGATTTACTACGCCATTTAAGAAAAAGGAACATTCGTCGGAAAAGCAAGTGTTGAATAGAAAATGTTCATCGTTTATAATTCGTTCACTCATATCTTCACAAAATTGTAATCGCCGATCAAAATCGTCTTCATTAAGTTCTTGTACCAGGCGAATTTTATACGGATGAAAACTATGGGGCTTTAGAATCCGTTTGACAGTACGTCGACTACCACCACACACAGTCTCCAATTTGCGGGTACTTAACGTAAGATCTACATAAACTTGCCCTAAAACTCCCACTTCTATTGCTTCGTTCCTTATGGGATTTTCAATGTTGCGTTTTTTATTGACGACTGACCCAGTTTCCCGAAATTTAGCTACAAGTTCTAGAACATATTTTCGATGCACGTTACTGTTCTCGTGTCGCTCACTGAATATTTGTGCTGTTCTATTAGCACACTGATTATTTCCGAAAAATATTTCGATAATTTCAACTCTTTCGGCTGTGGAATATACCATGGTTAATTTATGTAATAAAGCGTTACAAGTTATTTTAGCAACAAAGTTTGGTCAAATCAATCGCAAACTATGTACTAAATTCCTATTTAAAATAAGTACGAGATATTTCCTTATCTTTCTGCAAGAAATAACTTTTTTGCCCCAAAAAAACGCTCCAATAGCTATTTTCAACAACAAAATGATAAACAAAGTAGTACAAAGTAATCTGATGTACCTATAAAAGTCTACCTTATGCTTTAAATCAATAAATCTTCAAAACTACTGAACTGAATGTATTATACATAATTATAAAGGGAATTCAAAGACCTTTAAAATAAGGTATCACTCGACCCCCCTTTTCACTTAAGATTTTAGGGTTGGTGTCACCCCCGCCCAGGGGGCTGCACGTGTTAACGTGATTTTTTGCCAAACTTGTGTCCCCCTCGAAAACAAAATCGACGGGTCTGAGCGTTTTTCCAAAGAAAAAAAAACTGAGCTGCCAGTAAATTTGCCTGTTTTTACAGGGTGACTTTGAAGTTGAGTCATTAATTTTCAGATAATGATTGTAGAAGGAAGATAAACCAAAATACGTGTGTAAAAATAAAAAAAATTAAAAAAAATGTTACCTTGTTTTATGAAGTATCCTCCCGACAAGTATTTCAGTGCGCACCTGTATTTGATCGTGCGGTCTTGGAGCACCGGCATGCCCTCCCCTGTGAGGTCTTAAGTCACCTGATTCACGAGCCCTTTGTACTACATTAACAAAGGCACGAGGGGTTGGTTGCACTCGATTGGGAAACCGATCCGCATAAATCCGTGATGCCGCGGCAGCATTTTGTAAAGACTCCCTACCCCCCGCGTAAATAAGAATCATGTCCACAAGTTCAGCATTTTCGTAAACATGTGCAATTTTTTATTTCGTTTGAGCCACGCAACAAACACCTCTATTCACTCACGCGTTACCGACTGACACATTGACTGAATACAACTGAATAAAATTGTAGTAAAAACATAAGCGTTTCAAATTCTTTCGCTTTTTTGTTTCCGATGCGATGAACCGATAAGGCGGATTATATCCGTTGTTGCCAAACACGAGCACATAATATTATTACCGGTACTCAAACTTCTAAAGGGCTTTAACTTTGTTACTTTAATTTTAACAGAAAAATGTTATAGGAAAAAACATTTCTTTTGATCAGATCTACTCACTGTTAAAATAAATGACTCAACTTCGAAGTCACCCTATATATATGTATGTTATATGTTATATTCACCTTGATGTTCTCAAGAGCAAAACTGTCGTTACGGACACAGATAGATTTTTGTCGTTCATAAATGATTTCCTCTATCGTTTTGAAAGGTAAACTTTCATCTTGTTGGGATAATTTGCTGAACAGAACGGCGTTCATCGAAATGTAGAGCATCACCCCCAGAACAGTAGCGTTCAACTGAAGTAATCTGGCAGTTAAGCTTCTCAGACGTAACTCCACACCTAAAAACATGTACGCAATAAATATGTCGTTTTGCATCCAAAATGCGAAAGTTGTCTTTTTCCTTAAGTTTTGTATATTCAAGTTAGGATCAGGGATGAACTTCAAGGGTTGATAACTGAACATGTATACAACGTTGGGTTGGTTAGATTCCGATCAACTTAAAGGAACCGATTCCGATGGCTTTGATTTCGATTCCGTTGATTCCTATTTCGGTGGTTCCGATTCCGTCTTCTTAATCTGGATTATTCTTGAAGGAACTGCTTGAAAGGAACGATATCTAATCCAATACGGATCCTCCTTCTCTCGCTTTCAGTTCCAGTTGATCCAAAGTAGTAACGATGTGTAAAGTTTAGAATATGGACGGTTTTTGGATTCATGTTAAGTTCTATTTCACGGTAAAATTTATCACAGAAGATGAAAGCGAAAGAGTAAGAAAAGTATCACAGTTAAAGAATTGGTGGAAAATAGCAGAAAGTAAACAGTAAGGCATTTCATATAGCAAAACCGGGAAATTGTAAATTACTCCATTAAGACATTGATTGGGCTGAACCTAATGAAGCAAAATATTCCAGGTTTGAGTCTATTTCATGCTACAGTTTCCATGACCATCCAAGAGCAAAGTGTATCTACAGTACACAGACACTACAAATAGTAGATCGGTCTTCATTTGGAATCTTCAAAATTAAAAGAAATATCAGAATTTACCGAAACATGCCGTTCAGTTTGTTTTGGTAACAATAAACGAGGATGGCGTAAGGTATCAATGCCTCCGGAATCGATAATCGCTTTTTACTTTGTCTAATTCTAATGTGTCATTCCTTTGTAGCGCTTATTAACACCGATGGGATGCTTTGAATTGGGCGATTCGGGATCGAAAGAAACTAAACGAAGAAATCGATTCCGAGACCGAAATCGAAACTGTAGAATCGAATTACAAAGAGCGGCCGTTTAAACGTATGAAATTCCTAGTCGGAATAGCCCACAACAATTAGACATTTTTTGGTAAACATTACAGAAACAGTTTTTAAACGAAGAAAAGCTTGATTTTCCTGGACTATTCAGAATCGGAATTCCGTGTGTATTTGTAGCCTTACTGTTCTAAATAATATGATCAGCATCTATCTTGATTAGTACAATATTTCGATAATAATACCGGCTGGTGAAAAAAGTATCCAATGCACTTTTACGATGTTCTTTGCTTGGACTAGTTTGGGGACGCATAGGAAACCTTTCTGGAGTGCGTTTGTAAATCACTTGGTAATGTAATAACGTACACACCACAATAATGGAATGTATATTATTGCCATGTGTGTATGTATCATATTCTTTTTTTTATGTTCCTGTTGTTATTTGTATTGTACTTCATTTTATCTATATTTTAATCAGTATGTCTACAATGTAGATATAACTGGATCAATACGAGTAAATGAATCTGAATCTATATTAACAGATGAAAGTTTTCTGTGGAATCTTTCTTAATTTATTTTTCGAACGCCTTAATTGTTAAAGAGTCATGTAATGACACTTGATTTCAGCCTACTAATTTCTAACCACGAATTCTGCGACCATTTTTTATTAAAGGGAATGCTATGGATACAATGTAGCCCATTTATCGTGACGAATATATGAGGCGTCAAGTTGCAAATCCCGCCTTATCCATTTTTGAAAATAAATTGAGATAGTTAATAATATTAATGGTAGACCTTGAACCTTCATAAATACAGCCACAAAATGTATCAAAAGCCGCTCCTTCCCATTTAAAATCGAGTGAAAATATGTGTGATTGCGGCAAAATCCGTCTTATCCGTTGATACATTTTCATTGTAATTACGGTTACATTTACACTAGAAGCAGAAGAAGAAGAAACTGATTTAAGAATTTAGATTTTTTTTGTCAGACATCCATATGGAGTTTTACTTTTCCTTAATACCTATACAGAGTGTGGCGTAAAGAGTGTATAACCTTTAACCTGCAGTTAGAGGACATTATAGCGATTTAAAAAATTGAAAAATGTGTCTAGTAAAAGTTGCAGTTTTCGAATTTTTCGACGTTTTTCAAATTTGGAGGAAATTGGTTTCTTCACTCACGGTTTTAAGTCTCATGATAACACGTGAAGCTTTTTCTCATTCTTTTTTCAACATAAGTATTCTTGGATACATGTGTCATTAAATATGAATTGCCATTTCCGTGCTACAGGTTTAATTGCTTTTTTAAGAAATCATAAGGAATCTAAAAAAAAATGATTTTTTCCGTCTTAAGTTTGAGCACGTGAGGTGTCAATAATATCGCGGAAATCTTTTGGAACAAGTCGTGAAGTATTTGCCTGATTCATTTTGATTGCAAAATGATGAAATACACCGTATTTTCTGCTGTCAATTCAAAGAATACCTTTGCGACAACTGAGACGCCTACTTTTCCAAAGAAAAGTTTAACTCAAGTCCATTGTCGTTATTCATTAAGCATAGTATATTGAGGCATAAAAAAAGAGCGCATCAAAATTAAAGAGAGGATCACAAAATATTCAATTTTATTACGTTTACAAAACGTATTAGTAATGTTGCAGTTTAAATCTACCAGATGGATAAGATTTTAACACAAGATACTAACTAACTTTATGGTGTAAGAATGCATTAAAATAAGAAAATAGAACAGAAAACTCGCTAGACATAAACATATTATTAGAAGTTACACTACTGCAACAAAACCTGCTTTATCTAATTTTTTTTTGTTTTTTTTCCTTGAAAATGAAAAAAATACGATTATTTCTGGACAAAATAGATGCAAAATTACAACTCCACACAATGGACTTATATTTTTTTAAATACCGCTTGTAACTTTGGGTAAAACAGTTTTTGTCGATTATCTAGAAATCAAGTTTGTGGAAAAAGGCGAGTTTCGCAACTTGATGCCTTATACAGGGTGTTTCAGTTTATTGTTGCATAACTTTAAGATTCGATAGAACTTTTAAAATTAATGCATAAAGTCTATATAAACATGGGTCGAAAAATATGTGGCTTCCGAAATACAGGGTGTTTAAATTTACTTTCTAAAATAGTTTTTTTTAAATATTTCGAACAATATTTGATGTATAATAGTGAAAATTGGTATACAAGGGTTTTTGCTACGATAAAACGAACCATGGGCATAGTTTTACTGTAGCCGCTAGAGGGCGCTCTCTACTGTACCTGTAGTGTATTAATATGACCGAAACATTTTTCTTAGTGCAATTTTTTGCTTTTTGAATAAAAAAACTGATTCTTCGCACTTTTCAACATAAAAAAGCTCTCATGTGAGTTTTCGTTATAGTTAGTCGTTTTTGAGATATTTCGATTTTTAAGGTTCGATTCGATGCATTTTTAATTATTTATGGGAAAATAATATTTTTTCTACATTTTCGATTTGGGCGCATTACAAGTAATTAAGATGATCGTTTAGATTGTGTTTTTAAACACAGCAATAATTCCTAACTCCAAATAAACACAAAAAAACAGAATATTAATTTGTTTAATTTTCCAATATTATTTTTAACAAATTAAATTAATTATTTACAACTAAAATGCTATTGGATAGTTAGGACAAACATACAAAATCTAAAGTAGTTGCTCGAAATGTAAACCCAATTGTTCAATACACAATTCACATCTACGAATGATCGAACGTGGTATATCATTATTCAAATAAGGCCTTATTTCATCACATGCATTCCTGATTCTGTCTATTAGCATATCTATTGTGGTTACGGGAGTCTGGTTTTTCTTTTAGAAATCCCCACACAAAGAAATCTAATGGATTTAGGTCAGGGGATCGTGGAGGCCAGACGACTGGTGCTCCACGGCCGATCCATCTTTCTGGATAATTTTCATCCAGCCAGTTTCTAACTATTCTCGAATAATGAGCTGGACAACCATCAAGCTGGAACCAGGCCAATCTTCTTAAATCTAACATAACATCATCCCACATGTTTGCATGTTCAGCCTTTAACAATTCCAAGAAGGTCGCAGCATTTAGCCTTGCAGGCAAAAGGTAGGGTCCAAATAGTCGATTACAGTAGATACCAATCCACACGTTTATACTAAATTCATGCTGAAAATTTCTTTCCCGAACTGCATGCGGATTTTCATGCGACCAAATATGTTGATTATGAAAATTTACCACTCCACGTCTAGTGAAGCATGACTCATCGGTCCATAAAACGTTACTTAAAAACTCCCTATTATTATCAGTTCTATCAAGAATCCACTGACAAAATGTGATTCTTCGTTCTCCGTCCCCTGGCTGTAGTCCTTGCACAGGTTGCAAATGGTATGGACGTCTATGGTCATTTCTAAGAACACGGTGAACATGGCTTGCTGAAATTCCCAAGGCACCAGAAACTCTCCTAACACTTGTGGTCGGATCTCTATCAAGCTCACGCAGAATCATACTGGTAAATCTGCGCTGACGAACATTTATGTTTTGATCCCTTTGGATATTTCCAAAACCATTTTCAATTATTTGGCGATGCACTCTTACAAATACTGAGCGAGTTGGATGTCGTCTGTTTAGAAATCTTCGTGCGTATTCTCTGGCTGCTTCTGCTGCGTTTCCATTTACAAAGCCATACACAAAATGAATATCCGCTAACTCTTGATTGGAGAATAAAAATGGATTTTTTCTAAAATTTACAAAAAAAAAAACAGGTAAAAGAAACTAAATTTCGTGCATTCACAATTGCAAAAAAACGTTTCAGGTTTCAACAGACAACAAAACTAACTGTCCACTAATTGACGTTTAACCTTATTCTGCTTTCAATTTAAAAAATATTTGCAGGCACAGCCTACTTCTAAAAATTATCGAGATACTGACTTTTTAACGTTATTTTATCATAAAAATGCATCGAACCTTAAAAATCGAAATATCTCAAAAACGGCTAACTATAACGAAAATTCACAAGAGAGCTTTTTTATGTTGAAAAGCGCGAAGAATCAGTTTTTTTATTCAAAAAGCAAAAAATTGCACT